TCTAACATTCTGTGATTCTGTGATCTCCAAAAAGAGGGGTAAAACTGCTCGCTTCAAAACAGAATGTTACCATTGAGCTCCAGCAAGGCCAGTTTATATAGGAACCTTGCTAACATCAGTTATACTAATAACCATCTCAAAAACTTTCAATTCCGAATTTTATGTAAAACACATCTCAGTTCTACTGTTGATTTGCCTAACCTTGAACAAACCTCTACTGACTGAAGTGACAATCTGAAAAAACGAGTGCAATTTTCATACCATTTTACAATAGTGTTTCACGTTTATGTTACAAAGTGATACCCAAGAGCCCTTCTGTACAGGGATGGATTTTACAACACTGAGGTCTAGCATCAGGAACAAGTAACACCACTCCTGGAGAAGGAATGTGTGACCTGGGAAGAACAGATCTTTGCTCAGAATGCCTGAAAAACCCAGTCACGCCCACAAAGGAAGGGAAGCAAACTAGAGATACAGAAATCACAAACTGGAGAAAGCCACTGATTGAATACTAGTTTTGATTGTTTTCCCCATGTTCTTTCCCTCTCTGTGACAAAAGAAAGTGTCAGAGGCAGCGCCCTATTTACAAAGCAATGGAGATATGAAGCACTTACCAACTCTGGTGTTAACCTGTATTCTGGAGGTATTGTATCATCACGTTCTCCAGTCTTTTCTTCTTTTTTCTCTTTAGCTTTTGTCTTAAGAAGAGAGAACAAAAAAAAAAAAATCACTTAGAGAAATTAAAATAAAAACTCAAAGAATGTTTAACTTCACTATCAAGATTCTTCAGCCTCCTGTTTGCAGAAGTACTAGCATCAGATAAAATTATTCCACATATCAAAATATATTCAAATTCTTCAACTTAGTTGTATCAAATTCCTGTGGTAAAATCATCATGGTTTAAGAATCAATGCCATATGTGAATATGGCTGTATTATCTCAAATTCTAAAAAGCTTCAGACACTATTCAGATTTGTATCTTTGTGGCAGGCACTTTCATAATTTTTGGGATGTACAAAATTCTCAGGTTTCCCTGGGTTTCATCACTCTGACTATATAAGCCATAATTCAGTATCTTCTTCCGCCACTGCTACTGAAACACAACTTCTAACTCTCTGGACTTCCTTCATGAAGCAATGCATCCACTAAATTCTCTGAAGGCCCAGAGTGACTGAATCTGCAATACAGCATGTCCTTTTTTCTCTAAAATTGAGATCCAACATCTTTTCTCGGCAACAAATTATTTTTTACTATTTCCCTGTCATCTGTTTGCTCTGAGCTGTATGCTTGTATAGACAAATGAAATGCCTATCATTTTACAGACCATCTTACTATATTCTGTTCTACCCGTATCCACTCAGGATTTCTTCATTTCTTAATTTTCTTAATCACATAAGACCCAGACATTCCTTAGGCTTTTGATATGAAAGTCACTTTGTTATTATTTTAGAAATTTGTACAGTATCTAACAAAAAGTACTTGGGATTCCACAGCAGAGTCTGACAGGTTCTGTAAAACAGAGTAAGATTATACCTCTGACACCTCTACAACAGGGCTACGATCTTCAGGTTCAGGTTCAGGTCCACCAAGAGTAGCAAGAAGAGCTTCTACTCCTTCATCTTTAATTTCCTGTATTTAAGGAAATAGGCAAAACATTTCATTATTTTGTTCAACTGGCACAGGCTTTACCTTACACATCTTTTATGCTGTATATGAAGCAAAAAGGCAGCACCAGACTGCTCATTTCTGCTTGGCTTTACCCGATTTCCTTAACATCACATGGCAAATTATATGACAAGATTAGTACAGTCTAATGAAGACATATGTCCTCTTAAGGAAAGGGGTAAAGAAAAAGAAAGGAAAAAAAAAAAAAAAAAACAACACAGTATCACGTAACACAACTGTCATATGCTTTGACACAGCAAACCCAGAAAGCATAAGGTCATAGTTGCTCTTTACAGAGGAAGGAAAAAAAAAAAAATTGTAAAACATGAGAGAATTACATCACATCCAAGTTTTAAACACATCCCATGTATCTAAGAAAACAAACACATTTTTCTACTCTATTGCCTCCTGTCAGAAGAACTAGTCATTCTGCAGAAGAATCCAGAAGGAAAATCACCTAACCCACTGAGGCTGGATATTTAAGGTACAGCAGAGCCTGAGCGATGGCAATTCCTATTATTCCTATACTTTCTATGATAAACAGGATTTAAAACTGCAAATGAGGATGATGAGCATCTTCACAGGAACAGGCACACATAAAACATGATACGTGCTTGTAAATTTTAACTGGAAGTTAACTAGTCAAAGAATTATTATGTATACCTCTTTTGATTTTGTTTTCTTCTCCTTAGGAGGAGCCAAGGTCTTGACTGCACTTGCTGCTTGTGCTTGAACAATTTCTTCTTCCTTACTTGGTTTCTGGGAGAGATATGAAGTTACAGGGAAATTTGCAAAAACAAAAAGAAGGGGGAAATTGCCAAGAACATTTTAAAGTAAAATATTAAGATAACAATGGCAATACTTCGTAAAAAAGGCATGCAATGACAAGAAAAATATCAATACCTCTGTCAGACTTGCCGTCTTTTCTTCAGCAGAAGCAGTACTACAGGTAAAGTCAGATGACAGGGCCTCTGCAAGTTCATCATCTGTCATCGGTTTCTGAGCAAGAAATTGCAAACTAGGTTATGATTATTAAAGTTCAGATATCGATGCTGTCAAACTTGGTTTAAAATCTGCGTGTGCTCCACGCTTACTCACACAATGAGCTCATAAGCACACGTTGCTGTCACAGAAAAAACAAAGATATTTCCCCTCACTGTTTTGATTCATTTTTTAGATAAGCTTTTAATTTTGTATGTTAAATTTATAAACAGTAAAATTAAGCTGGCTTACAGAATTATCTTGCTAAGTATAGAAATTCAAGTAATCTTTGCTAAAGACATTCTGAAGGCTCCTGCATGCACAGCTATTTTTTTCCCTTTGTTATTATTACACCCACTATATCTATGAGCATTTATCTGACTTGTTTCAGCTTCAGTGTCCTGAAAATTCATACTTCTTTATTAAAAACATCTGTCCCAAATTCTATTTCATTTTATCAGTATCTATGGCACCCCACAGCCCTCTCCCATCTCCTGGGATTTTTGGAAGACAGGCAACATTTAAATTTTCATAGTAATCTGCTGATAATTGGGTTATTTTCACCTTCCAATATAAAAAACAAAGTCTTACTTCATCTCGTTCATCTACTTTTGGTGGGACTCCATCTTTGCCATCTCCTTTGCTCTAAAACGAGAATTAATTTTGTAGTAAATGGGAAGAAAAACCATACAATATGAAAGAAAACATGCATCAAGAATATTTTTTTAACTCACTAACCTTCAACAATTTTACATATTCTGGAGGGAGACTACCTTCCCGTTTACCCATCTCTTCCAAGTATCTCGAAGATATACCTTCCTATGAAAAGAATGCACACATTAATATTTTTTGTACTCTTGTTTATTGAAATAAATTTCTAATGTAGACCTATCTACAGTGATATTTCTGGAAGGAAAATACAAGGGCTGGCTAGGTCAGAGCGCCAGTCCTGGACCATGACTATATAGGGTCTTTCAGAACCTAGTGTCATGCATATGCATCTCATAGCTTCAACAGTGCAAGTCATCTAGCCAAACTCTGCATCTCCATTGACAGACTCCTTCTGCATTAACATAAGCTATTTCTGTGTCTCAGACCATAGAACGTCCTGGTGTACCTAGACTGAATTTTAAATATTTATGAATTCCAAAAATTTTATCACAGCTGAGTACTGCACTGAGACACTGAGCTTGTAAACTTAATCCTTCTTACGTTAGTCTCCCATTCTAACTCAGAAAAGTATGCATTCTTCCCCAAATTCTCAATGCTTTCCTCTTTCTCAAGCAGAAATGAAATCTCTAAGGTTGTTTGCCGCTCTTTTACAACTCCATCACTGCCTTTTATAAATCCATTGGAGACTACACTTGGAAGTCGGTTCAAAAAGCAACAGACTTTGTTGACACTTTACTGTTTCCTACTGCAATACATACATACCCATACCACTTCTGTATTACTGAAAACACTAAAATGCAACTACTGTGCAGACTCTATTTTACCTCATAGGAGATTAAAGTGACAATTACTGGATCAATGTAGTAGTAAGCAACTACAGATATATTTCAGAGATTAATCTTGTAAAAAAATAAAAACAAAAAATGGAAAATACCGTAACTTCTGGACCAGTGTAAACAGGACTAGTAGGCACATCTTCTTCAGGTCCACCTAGGGTATCTATTAGGCTATCTAGTGCTGACTCATCCATACCAGGCTAAAAAATAAGCAGATCATTACAGAAGTTACCATGCTGAACAAAGGAAAAAAAAAAACTGAATCACCTGATGAATCTGTAGAAAACTTCTGGAAACAAAACCAAAAGCTTTCTTTGAGTAGGTCCTGCACTTGACAAATTTTTCAGTGAGAGCCAAAGTCGTTCCCCAATGTCAGTAACAATTTGTCATTTGTATTTATATACCAGCTGATATTACATGCATACTTACACAAATACAACTGAAAATACAGAGTAATTAATTTTATGCTAATTGTGTAAGAAGTGATTCTAAGTAAGTCATATTTGACAAAATACAAATGACATGCCAATAGTTTATCACCTGTGCTTTCAGATAGTCCTTCACCGCCACACATAACTACTACATAGCAATACTTCAGCAGCTACCGATTTATTTTTTCTGAAACAGAAGTGTTTCAGAGAGGGAAACACTCTCTGAGACATTTTTACAAGTGAAGCATTTGTCTGGGACTGCGTTTACCAACCTCAGTACTTGACTCATCAGCTGCAGCAACCACACTTGCACTCGCTGTCCCTGCACCAGCTGCACCTACACCAGCCTCTATGGACATCTTCTCTGGTTTAGGCTGGAGGAATAAGATAAAAATTGAAAGACAGCTCTATTACATGGCTGTACATTAAAAATTCAAAGGGACAGAACACAGTAAAACAGAAACGTTTTACTAAGGCACACCTATCTATTGCTTCTCTTCATCTACACTTTGAATAGAGAAGTTAAGCTGGTTCTACCCACTGGCTGAGTGGTCTGGAAGTTGTGTAGCTGCAGCTTGCATGATACTGAGCCCAGCCTAAAACATCCAACTCTGAGGCCATGCACTTTTTTTTTGACTCAGCAACTGCCTAACACACCTGCACAGTGTCCAGATGCTTGGGAAGAGTGAGCTACCATCTACCTGCAATATTACACAGACGTACTCTGTTTCCAGTGTGATTTTGCTATGAGAAAGCATGCAATTTTAAGTATTCTCTACCTCCTTATTTTACTTTGCAAGTAAAAGAAGTCTGCAGTGCAGAAAGACTCTGAGGCCCCTTCCAAGTTTCTACTGAAAGCTTTCATTTACACATGATAGTTCTCAATACACCATTAACACCAGCAGCAAATACTGCTCAAATAAGTAGGGTGAAAACTGTTTCAGGGAGTTAGGTGCAGGAGCAACACCAACACAAAATGCAGACTTCTGCATTACTGACATTCTCTTTTACTGCTGAAAAAAGTGGGTTGCAGTAGAGCTGCAGGAGTCCTTCATGTTACTCTGGCCTCGTCACCCAGACACACGCAGACCAGAAGACCAAAAGACCTAGATCCTGACTCTGCCACACACTTTTGCTCCAGCTTTTTCTCCACTTGCCTCTCTGAAATGACCCCTTCCCAACCTTTCTCTTGCTAGTTTTTTTCAGAGTCTTGGAGTCAGGGCCTACAGGCTGCCCTGCTACAAAGAGATAACCTGCTGACCTGCTGCATCTGGAGCCAACACTGCTACTACAAACAAGCCTGAAAGTTCACAAGCGAAGGAGCTCCATGATGGCACTGCTCATACGAACAAAGCATTTGCTTACCTGAGGAATTTGCAAAAAAGCTTCCATGAATGACAGAGGAGCCCCACACATGTAACACAAGGGAACAGGCCCACAGTTGGGATAATCTTAATGTTGCTTGCTTAGCTAACGGCCAGAGTGTGCTTGACAATGCAAACAGAGGTATGAAGAGGACAACAAAAGGTGGATCACCAAACCACCAGCACAAGCTACCCATGACATCTGGCTGGGCAGCTCTATCTGCAGCTGATGCTTATCCGTTAATACTCTCATGGGTTAGCTAGAAGTAGTACATTCAAGATGTTTAAGTTAATTTGTGGGTAAAGTGTGAAGTTTCTAAGTCACAGCTTTTAGAGCTGCCCAAGGTTTGTCATATACACCTTTCAACACAAGACAGCTTCTGAGCTTTTCTACATTGTGATTTTTGGGGGCCCAGTCTCGCTTTACAATATTCAGCATACGAATACAACTTGACAGGGATTTCTAAACCCTGCAATAACATAAATAATAAAAATTTAATTGCTGCTTCTACTGTACCTTTGGTGTCTCCATGGAGGTTGCTTGTGGAGGCTGGTCAGCCTGAGCTTTAGTTACTTTTCCTATATCATTTGGTTTAGAAGCTGTTGTCATAGAAGGTGAAGTTTGGCTTTCTGCCTGTGTGGAGATAAACTTACCATTAGATAAGAAAATACTTATGGGCTGGCTTTGTTTGATTTGGTTTGTTAATTTTTTTTTTTTTAAATAAAAGAAAGAACAAAGAAAAATACCACAAGAAGCCCTCATCAAAAAAAAAAAAAAAAAAAAAGAGAAAAAATACACAGCTTACATCACTGGGTTTCTTTTGCCTCTCTTCAGATGGCTGTTTATTTTGAGAGTCTGTTGGCTGTCATAAAATAAAAAATTGAGATAATTTACCCTTACCACCATCCAGTGTTACGGAACATAATCTACATTAGCTCAAATAAGCACAAGATGCATTTAAAGACGGTTACAGAACACTTCTTAAGCTGCTGTAAAAAAATAAAACATCCTGACTCTTGTCCCCAAACCCTTCATTTCCACACCTGTCAGCTCCTAGCTCTTTTGCACACAGATATGTTACTAAACACCCAGCAGTTTCAAAGAGTACAACAACTCGCCGAAGGTGAAAGATTAAGTATTTACCTTGGTTGACTGCATGTTTTTTCCAGATTCTGCTTTGGTTGTTGGTGCGAACTGAAATATAAAGAACATGTATTCAGACAGAGATTAATATGCTTCATTATAAGGGACTGGTTTACATAAAGAAGAATATCAGATAGGTTCACAGTTGTGAGCACGTGTGATATGTAACTAATTTATAGTGCTTTGATCTTGCAGCTTACAACACGCTGGCACAGACCTCCACTCCAGCGACCTACAAGCAGTCAAATGTGTGCAAACACACACACACTCCATCTCTCACTCCTCATATGAAGGATCAAAAGAAAGGGAAAGAAGACATTAAACAAATATAATGAACAGTCTGAGTTACACCTGAAAGTTTTCTACAGCCATGCCACAAAATTGATTCCGGTGATTCACCTCAAGTCGAAGTACAGTGAGGCACAAATTATTACCGGTAGAAACATTTAAAAACAAACACAGAAAAGTTAAAGAATAGTTATATCTGATAAAAAGAAGGAAAAATGAAAACGTCAGCCTCCTCACCACATTTTTGTGACTATTTTTTCTTGTTCTTGCTACTTCAGCTCTGCTACAATTAACACACAGAAAGAGCCAATGTGGCTATTGGAAAGTTTAGAGGCATGAAAGAGAAGGTTGTTGCCTACTGCATGAGCCTCAGAAGCTCTGGCTGCTGAATGGCCAGGAGAGCACATGGACCCAGAGGAGTGTGATTTGATCTGCCGGGAACAGCACTGGGTGAGCAGAGTACACAGTGGGAGATGCAGACCCAAAATTCTATTAGGCGGTAATTTGAATTTTTTCATTGTTCTGCAATGTTTTCATTTCAGCTGCCAAACATTAAGTACCATTTAGATATATCCTGCTTCTGCTTGCTAGCTGACTGGATAGAGAAATTTGCTAGATTTGTTTACCATTTGTTACGCAAGTATTACTCACACAGTCTCTCTCTCTCTCTCTCTCTCTCTCACACACACACACACACACACACACACACACACACACACAGTGACACACACACACACTCACACACTCTCTCTCTCTCTCTCTCTGCACCACAGACATTTGGTTGGGTAATCCTCAACATGTATAAAAATGTAGAAAGGTGAGCATAAGCTCAGCTAAGGTCTCGAAGCTTCAGACCACAGTAAAGAGACTCACAAAAGATAAAATACCGATAGAGAGGGAGGACAACAAATTTCCAAACTCCAAAGTGGTGGGGGGGGTAACTGAAATAAAGAAAAAAAAAAAATCACTTGACCTCTCAGATTCCCCACTTTGGATTCTCTCTACCCCATTTAAAACAGTTCTTTTCAGGTTCAGTCATACATTATATGCTGCCACTTCTACATCCTTGTTACATGACTACCATATGGTTAACAGAAAGACACACACATCAGTTTGTGTACCTGTACATTAATAATCCTATACGTAAAAGGTAATCCTAAACTTTCAGTTTTTAAGCTCAAAAAGGTTGGACGTGCTTATGTAACATCTAAATCAGACATGATTTAACAGCAAGGCTGCAAAGAAAGAAGTTTAAGCATGAGGTGCTAGAAACAGAGTTTGACTTTTCCTGCTGTGGGACTGCGGTCTGCTCAGAACTTAACTACTCTGCTCTTAGAGCACAAATTCAGGTTTTCCTTATGTGTTTTCAGGAGAAAAGGAAAACACACTTTTTATCCAGGACAATAAAATATATTTACCTGCATTTCTGTCAACACCCAACAACGGCTGCACAGAACATAAACTCTCAGCCTGCCAAACCAATTATTAGCAACTGCACGCCTTTTTTAATATTGTAAATACTATTCTACTAAATACCTAGTGTATTTTTTGCATAGGGTACGCATTATTCATTATTCTTGTGTATCTTTTAAAATGTGCAGAACTGCTCATACTATAAATTTATCTATGACAGTGTTGAAGAATATATGGAGACTGGTATGGGCAGTGCTTTGATTGAAGACTTACATACACATGAAGATGCTAAGGCCACATTAAAACATATCACAGAATCACAGACTGGTTTGGGTTGGAAGGCACCTTAAAGATCATTGAGTTCCAATCCCCTGCCATGGGCAGGGACACCTCCCACTAGCCCAGGTTGCTCAAAGCCTCATCCAGCCTGGCCTTGAACACCTCCAGGGATGGGGCATCCACAGCTTCTCTGGGCAACCTGGGCCACTGCCTCACCACCCTCACAGGAAAACATTTCTTCCTCAGATCTCATCTAAATCTCCCCTCTTTTAGATTCAACCCATTACCCTCATCGGATCTCTACATCCCCTGATCAAGAGCCCCCCATCTCTCCTGTAGCCCCCTTTCAGCACTGGAAGGTGCTCGAAGTTCTCCCTGGAGCCTTCTCTTCCCCAGGCTGAACAATCCCAACTTTCTCAGCCTGTCCTCACATGGGAAATGCTCCAGCCCTCTGACCATCTCTGTGGCCTCCTCTGGCCCCGCTCCAACAGCTCCGTGTCTGTCCTGTGCCGAGGACCCCAGAGCACTGCAGAGAGGGGTCTCACCAGCGCAGAACAGAGGGGGAGAAACCCCTCCCTCGACCTGCTGCTCACGCTGCTCGGGCTCCCCCATCCATTCCCCTCCCAGCCTGTATTTGTGCTTGGGATTGCCTTGACTCACGTGCAGGACCTTGCACTTGGCCTTGTTGAACTTCATGAGGTTTGCATTGGCCCACCTCTCTAACCTGTCCAGGTCCCTCTGGATGGCATCCCTTCCCTCCACCACACCACACAGCTTGGTGTCATCAGCAAACTTGCTGAGGGTGCACTCGATCGCACTGTCCATGTCGCCAACAAAGATGTTAAACAACACTGGTCCCAGTACTGACCCCTGAGGAACACCACTTGTCAGTGGTCTCCACTTCGACACTGAGCTGCTGACCACAAGTCTTTGAGTGTGACCGTCAGCCAGTTCGTTATCCCCTGAATGGTCCATCCATCAAATCCATGTCTCTCCAATTTAGAAACAAGCATGTCATGTGGCACAGCGTCAAAGGCTTGCACAAGTCCAGGTACATGATGTCAGTTGCTGTTCATATGAATACGTATGAACACATACATGATCACATACACACACAGACGCATCTATTTAGATATGCTTTTAGGAATAACAAAGCTCAAATCCAATAAAAAAAAATATTACTAGGCAAGTCAAACCAACAATTTTAGTAGGAGACCATACATTCAGTCATCCTTTAAATAGACTCTGTTATGAGCAGCCACAGCCTGAAGACATAGCATCAGTTTACAGTGTACACTGAACTCCTATGAAGATGTTCCACCTCCCCTTCCTGCTTCCACCTGCACTGTGCCAGGATTTGAGAGGTCACATTTTAAACTGACTCGGGAAACTGCAAAATAGCTTGGAAAAGAAAACCAATATTTTTTTAACCAGTTCTCCAGTTTACACTGCAGCTGCACAAATGCATGCAAAAGAAAGCTGAATGGGATGTGGTTTTCTCCATGGCAGTGGAACACCCTGCTTCCTCCATTCCTCCAGCAAAAACCACAGGGTGCCTGCTCTCCACCCTGGTCCTCCCACCTTTCCACCTAACCCCCAGGGCTTCTCCTACAAAACAAGAAGTTCCACATTCCTTCCTCTGCTGCAGTAACCTACAGCTTTCTCAGAGGCGAGTAATCCTGAGGGTTAATTTGAGACAAAGGATTCACGTACACAGAACTGAAAGCTAAAGAGGGGTCCCTGAGCATGGCTAAGAGTAGTTGCACACTAGAGAGACTCTAAGAACAGGCAAATCGGATGTGGCTATAGCAGGCAATTAGGAAAGAACTGTTAATTTACAAGAAATTTAGGACTAGAAATTAAAGTGACTCAGCAACCTTATTTCTTTTCAAATAAGTCTACTGTCAAAATGCAGATGACTTGCTTAATCCAGCGGGAAGAAGACATTAATAATGCAACAGACATTAAAAGAAAACATTAACTGTCTTACACATGCAAATACAGGGCACTGTTTCAAAGGGATTTGTATTTACCACTCCCACAGAACTGAAGTATGCCTCTGCTACTTTGTCTCATCTTCCAAACACCAGTCTTAAAGATCTGATTAGACATTTACCACATTCTTCCGGGAGTTATTTCAAATTTCAAGCAGGGAAAGACCACAACTATTTTTAGGTAGCTGTCTGGGTTAAACCATATGGAGAGCTGCATCACTAACAAATCGTGAAACAAATGAGTTTGCTCACAAACGTAACAGGAAGATGAAACTGTGACTTGCAGATACCTTCATTTATGAGTAATGATAATCATGCACAAATGGGAAAGGTGTAACTGTCATCCAGCCCACTGCTACCAGTCTAAGTCTTACATGCGTGTATGGAGGAAAAGGGTTTTAAAAGGTTGATGGGAATGAAACGGCTAACTACAAATACTAAGATGGAGCTAGACTGTCTTCAGAGATGCACGCTAAAACTAAAAGAGGCAATGTAAAAGTTGCAGCAAAGGAACATCCCATTTGACAGAAGGAAAAAAAATCATCATCATCAACTAGATACCCAGAGATGATGTGCAATTTGCACTTCCAAGTATTCGAAGTTTGTCTGACAAGGCCTTCAGCAGCATGATTTACCTGCAGAGGTGGCTCTGCCTGGACTGAGGGGCTGGACCAGACAGGTGACCTCCAGAGGCATCTTCTAACCTCAGTGCTCTAAATGTTCCTTTATTTGTATTTACACAAGGTGCAGGCAGTCCTAAGTTTTACCACTGCGCACGTCCCTGCTAGTCTAGTCTGGTATTCAATACTTTTTGTTGGCATGAAGGAGGGAGAGAATCATTACTCACTTGTTCAAATAATATATGTAAATTCTGTTAGGCAACAGAGGTGTAAGTGAGGATTGTGACTCTCTTCTAAGAGAAGTACATAATTGATGACACACAGCTTCGACACTAAAGAAGTTTGAGTCATAAGACAAGACAGAACAAGCGAAAAGGACAAAGGCAAGGAAGCTGTCAGACAGACCAAGATATGAGATTGATGAGAAGATGCAATTTTACGTACACTCAAAGCTGAAACTTGTCCTGAATTCTTTGAATATGTGAAAAAATATCATTAGGTAAATAACCCTGTAATTACACTGGGAGGAGCTATATACATATCACAAAGTGTGACTGAGCCAAAATTAAAATTAGTATTGCTATAACAAAATCCCCTGAGTACTTTCTACTGCATTTTTTTAGGTATTTTTTGAAGAGGGAACAAAGCTGCAGAGAAGAAATAGGCAAGGTAAAGTCACTCAGTATCAGTATTAAAAAAAGAAATTCCATTACTTCATATATTTGTGCTTAACTGCAAGCATGTGTTTCTCAGGAATTCATACCTTTGTTTCAGATGGCTTCATAATCTGTGGTTTTGGTGCATCTGGAGAAGGGGACTGCTTCTGAGAGAAAAAAAAAAGGCAAATTAATTAATTCCACTCTTGTTACACACACTATTAAGCAAGCATAAGCAACCTGAATTAACTGGATATCCATCTAAAAAATAATAATTAATTATTATTGAAAATTAGCATTATCATTTTAGATCTTCTGTCTTGCCTGTATTTCTACAATACATGTATGTAGGATTTCAACAGCGTGATGCCAATAGATCTTTACACCACATTTTTTTTTCCCCTCTGACATGTACTGAAAACAAATTTCATATGAAGTATCAAAACAAACTCAAATCCTGCTCACATACTGAAGAACATATACTTCCTGTGCAGGATTCTTCCACTTTTTTATTTTAAACCAACATTATACTTTTGGATTTTTTAGTTTGTCACACAAAATATTTAATACTGAATTAGCAAACTCAAATATGTTGAGATAAAAAGGAATAATTAATCCATATGTAACACACACATAAGTGTTTCTGCATATCATGGAACCCTTTTGAAAAGCTGCAGATGACAGAGTCTGTTTTCCTAGCGTCAGTGATGTTATCCTGAGAACAGCATGTTTTAATTCTGCTGTGACTGTATCAAACTTTAAAGCCTAAAAGTGGCAGCCTAGTCTGTCTAATTAATAATTCATATGGACGTAATACTACCTCTCTATTCCTGCTTCATGTTCCTCTGCTCAAAGCTGTAATTGTCACCTGTGATGGTCTGAGCCCAGGACACCATCTTGATCACAGGAACACATTCATATTTTACATTTAAATGAACAGCACAAGTTACTGAACTTTCTAGATTGTCTCTTCATGTTTACCGTGCGACCTGCTGTACAAAAACATGCATTGTCTGAATGAGCTCAGGAGCCACATTACTATTCCATAGATGGTGTAACTTCTTACTTCCACACAGAAAATTTTCTCATTTCTGCAACTTTTCATAGTGCATGCATTTCTCAACAGTAAGACAGAAGTCGTACAGAATTTAAAAGGTACAAAATGACAGTGACAGTGTGATCTCCTGAACAGCATATGTGGCATATTGCACAACTCAGTAAGGGGTTTGACCATGCTAAATACATACTAAAGAGAATGTGCAATTGCCACACTACAGAAACTTAAGCAAATAATATCTGCTTCCATATATGTGTGTATATATATATATATATATAGATTGATTATGTAATGGATCGGTACTTTTGTATGGGTGGAGACGTATACAGGAAGGTGTAGAGCCTCCCATATCAAGACAATGAACAAAAGTTTTTGAACATCCTTTGTATATATTTCCACTACCACATCAGATGATCTGTAGGCAACACTATATTTTTATTAATTTGCCCTTAATAGTTTTTCCTTTCTTTTTCTTTCTTCTCCATGAAAGTAATCTGAATTCCTTCTACATGACTATCAAGTAGGTATCTGTTCTAACCTTCCTCTTAGTCACCCTAGTCCCCATCCATTTAATAAAAACACATTTATCTGAGCCCTTCTACCTTCCTCCCTTCTGAAAACTCCTAGCAAGCCTTTTTCTTACAATACAATGAAAAATTCTGTCTCATGTTCCACCACAGCAGCACCACTACAACCTGCAGAGATTAGTGAAAACTTCCCAAAGAAACCAGCTGTTTCCACCCAGACGGATGGCAGTAACTGTCAGCAACTAAGAGACAAGGAGTTTAAATGCTCATGGAGGAAGAAGAGTAGTTTGGGGCAGAAAACAGTTTAATGCATGGTTGCTGAGCAGCGGCTACAGAGGATGCCAAGCCATCCTCCCCCAAAACACTCAGGGTTGATTCAGGGAAACAAGCCCCTGTCCCAGCGAGCTGGCGGGGAGTAAGGGGAGAGGTTGGCGGAGAGCAGAGGGTGTCTGTCATTGTCTGGCTCCCTTGGGGCATGGTGTGCCTCACTTAATTTACACACTTTTTGCCTGGATTCCCCACTATTCAGGGCCTCCAATT